TTGGAGGTAGGGACTCTTTAGTCACAGAGATAAAGGCAGCTTCCTGGATGCAGGGAAGGTGCCGCTTATTCTGGGCTCTCACCCCCATTTGTGCTATTTGTCACCTGGAATGTCTGGGGGTGAGAAGGCATCTCAGGTTGGGCAGGGGCAGTGCTTTCCTTGGCTGCTGATGGTCAGGGATCCCATAGATCCCAAAGCTGGTGCTGTAGGACTCAACCTGGTATTGTCGGTGAGAAGCCATTAATCAGGGAAAGGAAATACTTTAGTGGGCTGCCTTTTATTTCAGATTGTGGTCAGGAAATGCCAGTGGAACCTTCTTTTAAGTGTGGTAGGGAGCAGCTGTGAGACACCCTGCACCAGTGTTGCAGCTTCAGTCCTGGAGTCCCTTAGTATCTACTTTCCTTCCCTTCCCTCCCATAATCACCCCACCCTCCCCCCAGCCATCTTAACATTTTAAAATTCTCCACCAGCTATTCCTTCTGGTATTTCTAGATAAAGGTCAGTAACAGATAGGTCTGCCCCAGTTTGTCATTACTGCAAATTGCACAGTTGATCTCATCCATATTTTCTGTCTGAATTCCTGTTGCAATAAATCTAATCTAAATTTTTTTTTGTCCTGGTTTATTTCCTATTCCATTATATTAATTTGTGTCTTTCTCTGTCTTGCTCTTATCTGCTCAAAATGTCTCAACACTCTCTCATCTTGTATTCTGAAATATATGAAAATTTAATTTTCTTTTTGACTGGGATAATAAAAGCACTCAATTTGAAAATGAAATATCCCGCATGTGATTCCCACTGAAAAGCACCAAAAGTCTACGTTGTGGGTCTGCTACTCCTAGGCAGCCCATTTGGCCACCATTTTGTCACCTAAACAAGGTCAAAATGGCCCGGCCAGTTAGGAACAGGAGCCCAAACCCTTAAGCCCTTCAGATCAAACAAGAGCACAAAGCTGGATCACACTGGGAAGGTTGTGCATCACAAGGTATGTCCAGAACACCCAGGGTGGGCGAGGCTGAGGACTGATGCATAACATGTGCATCAGGAGGTATGACCAGGAATGCCCGGGGGGCCGAGGATTAATATATGACAAGGGACCCCAGAAGCTTATCAGTGGAGTGCCTTGTTGATAAGATTAGAATCATGCATGACTGGGTTTTAGGGTGTATCATCAAGTAGATTAGAAGTGCCTGGAGGGCAGACTCACAATCCCTAATCTTCTACACCCTTCCCCTTTCTTTAATCTCCTTAATCTCCTTACAATCAATTACATGTGTCAATAAAAGGGTCAGGATCTTGCTCTTCAGCAGCATCCTGCATTATGTAGCCTGCTCCACGACTCCAGTTTGTCAGTGTGGTGTTGTCCGAGGCAATACTACCTGTTTCACACATTACATTAAAAAATAATGAACACTCTTTATACTCTGATTTCAACAAAACAAACATCAAAGTCTATTTCCAGTTTATTTCATAATGAGAACAACAATAAAGTACGTGAGGGCTCCAAATGTGCTTGTGTCTCATTGCTGTGTTACAGAGTAGATACTTTTTATCTTAAATGTTTTCAGGTTTTTGGGGGGAGTTTGTGTTAAACTTTGCTGGACTCAAAGTTAAGAAACTCAGGAGACTGGGCCTCCCTGGTGGGCAGTGGTTGAGCACTGGGTTTCGAAGCTGTGGGTCCCACATGGCATGCAGACTTCTCCTGCCCCCAGTTGCTCCCCTCAGCAGTGTACTTCATCAGTCTGCCTGTTCTGCTCTCCACTCTGGCTCTGGTGAATTCTCTCACTCTCCCATGCTTCTGACTGTACCACAGTGCTTGTATAAATAAATAAATAAATCTTAAAAAAAAAAAAGTAACTCAGAAGACTATTAAATCTATTCATGGGCCTCCCCAGTGGCACAGTGGTTGAGCGCTGGATTGCCAAGTTGCCCGCAGCCTCTGCAGCGCCGGTTCAATCCCTGGCCGCCGGGCGAGGATCCCACATGGCACGCAGACCTCCCTTGCTGCCCGCTGCTCCCCTCAGCAGTGTACTTCAGTCCTTCTGTTATAGGACAGGGAGAGGGGCAGCCCAAACCCCGCAAACCTGCCTATTCTAAATGGGTTCTGCCATCCGCCGCATCAACACAAATGTATGAGACATTAATGGGAAGGAACTTTAATAAAACTAGGAAACAACACAGGTAAGGCAAAGAATCTAGTTTCTAAATGAAGCACCCAGAGTTACCCGTCCCCTCGTGGGTAAAAGTCCATCCAAATGGGATTGGCCCAGAACAAGGCCCCAAAGCCTGCCACAAGTCTAAAGCATCTTCCAGTGGGGACCCACAGCAAAGGGTCAGAAACAACCAGACAAGCCCGGAAGGAAAAGAGCAAAATCAACATCAAGATAAAAGCTGCCATGGTCACCTCCCCACAGGTCTCAACCACATCTGTGTCACCCAGTCCACGACCAAAAGACAAGCGCAGTTTCTTCACGTCTCTAGGCTCCACGCGCCTCCTCCAGGTCTCCTGGCTCCATCCTGCTTCCTTCCTCAGTCTTCTCTGCCGCTTCTCTTCCTGCTCAGCTCCACCCTTCCTTGGGTGGGGCAGGGAACCTGGAACCTCCCCCTTTCCTGGGGACCACCCTGTTACACTTCTGCCTGTTCTGTTCCCTGCTCTGGCTCTGGTGAATTCTCTCACCCTCCTGCGCTTCTGACTGTACCCAGTGCTTGTACTAATAAATAAATAAATCTTTAAAAAAAAATTTATTCACAGTACAGATGGACTGCACATGTTTTTAAGCAAACTAGCTACACACTGTTAAGAGTAAATGCCTCTTTCTAGAAATACAAAACAGAAAAATATATCCAAACAGATTAATTCACTTAGTAAGCATTAACTGAATTCCCTGGTGACCTAGGGTTTAAGTCTCAGTGCTATCACCACCACAGTTTGAGTTCAATTCCTGGCCAGGGAGCTAATCCACATATGGCACAGCAGACCTCTCCTGTCTCAACCACTGCTCCCCTCAGCAGTGTATTTCAGTAAATGTGCCTGTTCTGCACCCCACTCTGTCTCTGGTGAATCCTCTCCCCCTGCACCTCTGGCCTACACTCCAGTTCTATGCAAAAATAAGTAAAAGCTTTAATAAATAAATAAATAAATAAATAAATAAAGTGGACATTCCACACAAGTAGTAGAACTATTGCTGGACTTTTACTTTTTACCAGAGAGTAGTAATGCAAAATAATAGTTTATGAAATATTTTACTATGAATCAGACCTACTGGCAAGAGATTTTCATCTGTGATTTCATTTGAATCTTAGGACTAGTCAGTGAAACTAATATTACTATACTTATTTTTCATGTGAAGAAACTCTGTTTGAGAGGTTGTATACGTTATTGTTGATTGTAGGTGCAGGATGGGCACTGAACAGATTTCTATGATCCACACAGATGGGGTAATGTAGAGATCTGGAGCCCTCGGTGGCTTTCTCAGTGTTTTAGAGCTTTACGTGTAGTTCAGCAATCAGGTACATGGCAGGCAGGGGTGCCAGGGGGCCAGGAGGCCAGTAGGCCTCCAAGCCCTGGGCAAGTCTTCACTCTTGGTTTCTCTGGCCTTGATTCTCCTGCCTCTCCTGCTTCTCTGTTTCTGCTTCTCTTGGTGATTATCTCAAAACTCCTCCCATGGCCCACAGAAGTAAACAAGACAATTTTCAACAATGTAACAACTGCAGGTGCCCCATCAGCAGGGCAATCCTAATCATGGGAGGGCAGAAAAGCCTGAAAAACCATTTATCCTACATTGACTTATATAAATTGAGGCAGACAGAAATTAGATAAACTGATTAAAGAATCAAGACTGAGTAGGGCCTCCCCTGGTGGCGCAGCGGTTGAGCGCTGGGCTGCGAGGCTGCCCACAGCCTCTGCAGCGCTGGTTCGTTCCCCGGCCACCAGCGAGGGTCCCACAAAAAAAAAAAAAAAAAAAAGACTGAGCCCTAGAAGCTGGGAACAGTCTCCAGAAAGAATTGGGAAAGGTACCCAAATTCTGAGTCTCACAATTAGAAATCTATACAGTCTATGAGAAAGACAATTTACATTTTCAGGGGTTAACTCTCAGCACTTTGAAGCTGTTGGCAGACCTTCAAGCACTGGTTAGATCCCCAGGCCAGGGAGCTGACCCACATGGTGCAGCAGACCTGTCCTATCTCCTGTCTTGCCCACTGCTCCCCTCAGCAGTGTGTTTCCGTAGATCTGCCTGCTCTGCTCCCCACTCTGTCTCTGGTGACTATTCTCACCCCCACCCCACCTCCACACCTCTAGCCTACACCCCGGTGTAAATGAATAAATTTTTTAAAATAGTGTTTTATTTAAAAACAAAAAAACAAAAAAAAACAAGGAGGTTTGTTAAAATTTACCCCATCCAGGGCCTCCCTCAGTGGCACAGCGGTTGAGTGCTGGGCCGCGAAGCTGCCCGTAGCCTCTGCAGCACCAGTTCAATCCCCAGCCGCAGGAGAGGGTCCCACATGGCGTAGACCTCTCCTGCCACGCCTGCTGCTCCCCTCAGCAGTGTATTTTGTCAGTCTGCCTATTTTGTTCCCTGCTCTGGCTCTGGTGAATTCTCTCACCCTCCCGTGCTCTGACTGTACCCAGTGCTTGTATAAATAAATAAATAAATATTAAAAAAAAAATTTACCCCATCCATTTAGAACCTACTCTTCTGGAAACTGGGATTTTTAACAATGCCATACACCTTGAAATCTGTCTTTGAAATTACTGATTTGCTCAGAGATGACAGCTTTTGTTGTCCTTGATGCAGATTGTTCGCAGGAGCAGTCCAGCTCCAGCCTGTGCCCCTTAGTTGAAACCAGGAACCCTTTTAACTGTTGGTTTTAGTTTAAATTATCAAGGTCATAGCTGGTATGAAATGGAATCCATGTTTTAGATATATATGACTTGGAAACTGTGAAAGAATACTAGTCATAAAGGTCATGGTTGACTTAAATTTTATTTGTGAGTTAAGTCATCCAGAGAAAAAAAATCTTTGTTTTTACATATATTTCTGTGAAATATAGCTTCTTTTGTGAAAAAGTGTGCAGAAACTAAGCAATCAGCAGAATCTCACAGTGATGGAGGCACATCCTCAGGCATGTTTTCAACATAGTCTTTGAAACACTGTGCTGGTCTCCCAGGATACAGAAGTGAACTTGACATAGTCCCTGCCTCTTAGAAAATCCAAGATAAAATGGATTGTAAGGCAAAGGGCATTATGAGTGTTAAAAAAGTTTACTTACTATTCACCAAGAAAAAGATTTAATTCTGGCATTTTAAAAACATACAATATATTGGTTATACAATAAAATATATACAATATAACAAAATGTGTATAAATATATATAATAAATCTGTAACAACCACATATAATAAAATTTCAAATAATTACAAGAAGGTAGAGTAATATGCCAATAAAATGGGAGAAAGGAAAATGCAGAAGAGAAAAAATGCATTGTAAAATGTTATTTCGTCCTTTTTTGGGATTAATCAGTACAGTGTAGCTGAACTATAGAAATTTAAGACCTTTTGTTTGTCAATAGCATGTTCACAATTCTGATTGAATTCTGAATGCTAAAAGTGCTCAAGTAACTATCCATCACTTAATCTGGGATAGAAGAAGAATTTTGAATATAATAAAGGATAAAATAAAGAATATCCTTTAAAGGTATCATAGTTATTTAGCATATTATAATTTGAAACATAAACACAGAGTTAAACTGTCCGGAGTTTTAAAACAGAGTAAAAAATAAATATTTTTACTACTCTTAAATTTCACTATATATTTGTTACAGTAAGAGAATTTGGAATTTATTCAAAGGTCACAGGTCAATTATAATTTTTCTCATTAAATATTAAAATGATTTTGCATGGTTTCAGTTAGCATGGTCATTTTTATGGTTCTCCATGTCAGACTGTTTATATAGGAAGGTTTTACATCTGGCCATAAGAGGTAGAATTCATAGATATTAATTATATTCTGGTTTCAAAATATCAGTATCAATTCATACCAAAATACCTTCTTAAGTTAGAATCATGTTCTACCAAATCCCTGTATTATACTACATTATGGTAGTTTGCATATTGGTTGCTAACACATAGTATGATGAGTAGTGATAGTGTTTTTGGTAGAATAAGCTATAGTTCAGGGCCTCCCCAGTGGTGCAGCGGGTTGAATGCCATGTTGTGAAGCTGTCCGCAACCTCTACAGCACAGGTTCGATGCCCAGTCGGCCAGGGAGAAACCCACATGGTGTGACAGACCTCTCCTGCTTGCCCGCTGCTCCCCTCAGCAGTGTACTTCAGTCAATCTGCCTGTTCTGTTCCCCACTCTGTCTCTGGTGAATCCTCTCACCCCCTACACCTCTGGCCTGTACGCCATCTCTTGTATGCATAAATAAATAAATCTGAAAAAAAAAAGAATAAGCTATGGCTCAGCAACTGCATTCAGCAAATTATAATGCCTGACAGTGAGAATTATGAATGGCTACTGGCAATGGTTTTGATTGACCAAGTAATGAAGATGCAACTGTATACAACAAAATACAATGCATTTCTCACAAATGGTTGGGAAATTCCCTATGAAGAGTTTAAACTCATTTGGCACTTGTCAGTATAATTATTCGGCTTACTACAAATCCATTTCCTCTTTGTGTAGATCCTGCCACTGCTGACTCCATTTTCAGTCAGGTAGGCACATGTCTCACCTCCTCCGATGACAAACCTAAAACCCAAAACAACATCATTAAATATCCATATGTTGAACTTCTACATTCATTCCTCCATTATAACCTAACTCTAGTTTATTGAAAAGCACCATTTCTGTATTTAGTTCCTTTACATTGTCAAGGTCTGTGACTGTCTATCACGTCTGTCATTCATCTGTACCAAGCCCAGGTATGTGGCTAACAAGGTATTTAATGAGGGCTTGCTGTTGCAGCAAATGAACTGTTACCATCAATGCCTTTAGTGAATATTATTTTCAATCTTCTCCCTGTTTTGACCCTCCTACCCCCCTACCCCTGCTGTAGGCCTCAGATCTAGGGTCAGCTTGCTAGTTTTACTAGTCAACTCTTTAGATGGCATAGCTGTGATTGATGGTAGTGGTTTGGCCTCTGGGTTTTATCTGCTCCACTGAAATGGTCACAGTTCAAAGAACTATTCCCCAGTTCTTTACACTTATAAACCTTTAGGAAATATTCCTAAATGGTTTCCTTGAATACTTCTTTTGTGATAGATGCAACAGTGGGAATGAACAGTGAGCTTTGGAAATCTGTGGCAACTATTCTTTGTGGCTTTCTAGGAATTTAGAACCCCTGCTGTGCCTCATCTAGCCTTTCTGCATTCTAAAGATACTCCAGCAGAGAAACATTTAAATCATTGCTCAATGTATAAGAACCATGTTCAAAGTCATCCTCATATTAAAGATTTCAATGAAAATCACAATTAGTAAAGTTTTTCAAAGCCACAGCTAATAAATGGAAGGGGATAAAAATGATGTGCATCTCCTACCCTCCTAGTACAGTGAGTTTTCCATGATCTTAAGTTTGCTTTCTCACAAAGACAATACTCATACATACCCACACATACACACAGTAGAAAGTCAAGTCCCCAAACATACGTGATATTGTATCCAGCGTTGCCTGCCCACTTCCAGCTGTGATTTGGCGACTCTCTACTAAGGCCTATCCATGGGTCAGGAAAGCATTTGTATCTTTTCAGGAAATTCTATTATGAAAAACATAGAAAGTGAAAAACATGTTTCTCTCCTATTACTCTTTGGTCTCTCTCCCCTACAGCCTTCTCTTTTAAGATGGCAGCATGGCATCAGGGAGAAGTTAAGACTTTAGGGTTAGAATAGTCCCTAGTTCTCAGCTCCCAAACTCATTTTCTGTCTCTGATCCAAAATTATCTCAAAGTCACCATCCACCCCTGCTGGGCTGACAAAGACCCAGGTAATAATTGTGGTTCTAGTAGAGTATGAATATCACCCTCAGTCCCCATAACACCCTATTTGGATGATAATTTCTATGATAACCATACTTCTCTGTACAATGGCAACAATACATCCAATCTTGTGGGTTATATTGAGGATTCCATGAAAGAATGAGTCTGAAACATCTCACAGGGTTCCAGGCAGAGAATACCACCAAGCTAGGCATACACAATACTTTCAAGTCCACCTGGAGTAGGATTCTTCCTTCTCTTTCAGCCTTCACCCCAAGCAGCCTCCCCCTCCCAGGAGCTAGGGATCCAACAATCCTCACCATTTCTTTAAGGGTTTCAATCTGAACAAGATTGGCTTTTTCTGAAGCACAGAAGAGCTGGCTGAATGACCAATTTCTTACGTCATCCGAAAAATAATAACACTTGCTTCCAAATCCAATCCATCCTTCGGGGCAGGTTGCATACACAGGTTTTCTTGCTAAAAGTTGGATTATAACAATAAATTGTTAATAAATGTTCTCATCCTTTTTATCTACAGTTCCACTTAGTATCCTCAGGTCACTTCTGAAGTATGGGCTTTCATGTCACTTTCCCAGCTCATCACTAAGTGCCTTACCCTAAGGACTATAGTTATCAGTCCCGTAGTCTCCAAGTGGGAGACTGTGCACCTCACTTCCTGAGGGGTACATGGGCCCTACTTGTTTCAAGCAAATCAAATTCTATAGCAATGTTTTTTATGAATGATTCTAACCTAATTTCTACAAAAGGTAAACCCTAGTACACACTGCCTGCATTTCTTGCAGATTCTGCTTTTCTATATATTCCTTAATATTAGCCCTTCAGGGCCTCCCCTGGTGGTGCAGCAGTTGAGCGCTGGGCTGTGAAGCTACCCGCAGCCTCTACAGCACAGGTTGGATCCCTGGCCACCAGCAAGGGTCCCACATGGCGCAAGAGACCTCTCCTGCTGTGCCCGCTGCTCCCCTCAGCAGTGTATTTCGTCAGTCTGCCTCTTCTCTTCCCCACTCTGGCTCTGGTGAATTCTCTCACCCTCCTGTGCATCTGACTGTACCCAGTGCTTGTATAAATAAATAAATAAATCTTTTAAAAAAAAATTACCCCTTCAACCTCTGGACACTTGTTACCTGTTACAGGTTTTACTAGCTGAATTTCTTAAGAGAGTGAAAATGTCCCAGTAGACAAAATGTAACAAAATTAAAAAAAAAAAAAACAATGTAGGACTTCATGTAGTTTTCTGTTTTATATATATTTCTGTTAAATATGAATAAAAATATCTTGGCCTTCCCTACAAATTCTGAAACCAGCCAGAGTGTAAGCTACTGGAAGAAGGGATATTTTTGTTTCATAACTTCACCTTCTCCTCCTCTAACATCATAAAAAAACACACACATTGCTCCTTGGAAGGTCTAGTAAATAAAAGTATACTTCATTTGAAATATTGAATACCACAGAAAACTTTTATTTCCCCTTTATATTTAAAGATAAAATTACTTACATATTATACTGTGATAAAATTCTATAGTAGAAATATAATATATAAACAATCATTTGAAAAAAGCAAAGTAAAATTTTCCAAGATTAAGGATGGATTTGCTCATGTATGTTTTTAAATGGATAATAGTGGGTAACAGGTCACAGCAGAACTTCAACTCCAATATAACAGGTTAATTTTTAAATGTCAGTATCTACAATGTGCTGAATATTACATCATTTGCAACTATTTAAAACTCTGAGGAATGATGTTAGATAATAACACAAAACTTGGTCAGGGGATATTTAGTTTTCTAAAATGTTCAGGTAATATTCTAGAGTTGTAGGAATAAAAAGCTTTAGAAGATCACTAATGAAATCAGAATACATGTATCAGTGACTTAGTAATACTGATAAATCATTTCTTCCTGAATAAGTGTCTCAAGAAATGCTAAGCATCTATTGCCTCTATATACATTGGAATTTTTGTTAAGCATATAGTTCTCTGATACTTCTGTGCACTGTCGTTCTGCATAAGTACATGTCAGAAACGTACAGATTTGACCTGAGTGAAATAATAAAATGCAAACCTGAATGGGGCATGTCAGGAAATAGCTTCATAGATGAAACACTTAAACTCATAGCCTTTCTTTCATCAGGGCTGGCATCTACATTCTTCCCATTGGCTCAGGAGAAAATCGTTAGAGTTATCTTTAACTTTTTTTTCTCTTAAAACTTCATATCGAACCTAAGATGGAATACTGTTGTCTCACCTTTCAAAATATCCAGATCTGACCACCCTGGTCCACCTCCATTGTCAACCTCAGGTCCAAGCTATCATCATCTCTTGCCTAGATTTCAAAAGATTGCCCTGAAAGGTCTTGCTGATTCTACCCTGTCTTCTAACAACCTCTTCTCAATAGAGCAGTCAGAATGAATATTCTGCAATGAAAGTCTCATCATGATTTCCCTCTTCCTCATCTTCCCCCTTGAACTCAGAGTAAATGCTCGAGCCTTTAAGTGTTTTACAAAGCTCTTAAAATCCAGTGGTTCCCACCTGATGGCTCTTCCTTGTTCTCACATTGAACTGAGGCCTCATTGCTGTTCTTCAAACCCAAAGATATTTCTCCTTAGGGATTTTTTGTCTACCTGTTCTCTCTACCTGGAGTGCTTTCCCCAGGTAGTCTATGATGACTTCTTCTCTTTCAAAAGTTTCCTGAAAGAGCCTCGTAAGGAGATTTACTTGCCACCCCTCTATTGTAGCATGGCCTTCTCCATCCCTACCTTTGTTTATTGTATTTGCAGCTTCCTTCTAGAATGTAAGTTCCCTGGGAGCAGGGATGTTTGTGTTTTGTTCACTGATATACCTCAAGCACTTCAAACAGTCTGTGGCACATAATAGACTTCAAAAATATTTATTGATAATATCAATGTGTAGATAGCATAATAAGGTTTGGGGAACAAATAACTTACCTGCCAGAAGAACAGAAAGTACAATCACTGCAGTTAGAAGCACAACACAGATGACACTGATGGCAGAGGTTAGATGCTTGCTTTGGCAAAATCTTTTACCTATAGAATACAAATGTCATAATTTCAATCTCATGAAGGCCTTACAAAGAAAACTTAAATTTACCAGAGAAGCATCCTCTAAAGTCAGTGCCTCAATTTCCTTATTGCCAACTCCTTTCTAAAAAGGTCCTGCTTCATAAATGTTGGCCATGGTCTCAAGAGGGCAGAGATGAGAGAAACTGAAGTATTTCCCCCTACAAACTTCTTCCAGTGATTGGAAGAAGTATTTAAGAGAGAGCAAGAAACAAAATGAGTAGAAATGAGGGTAAAAAAGAAATATACAATTAATCCAGATGTACCTCCAGAATGAAGAGATCTGGTTAGAAGTACTAAGTGAAGCTTTCGGAAATAAATCAGTGGCATTCATCATATTACCAGAATTAAAGAAAGTACACAATCATCTCAGTAATTGTAGAAAAAGCCTGTGAAAATTTAACATTCATCCACAACAATTCCCAAACACCAAGAACAGAAAGACTTTCCTACACCTGATAAAAGCCATCAACAGAAAAGGCACAGCTGGTATGAAGAGCAAATGTTTTCCTCCACAGATCAAAAACCAGGCAGGGATGTGGTCCCCCTAATCCAATTAAACACTTTGCTGAATATCCCACTAGTAGCCATAAGAAAGAAAAAGAAGAAAAGGCAAAGAGTGTGGAAAGAAATAAAAGTGTTTCTAGAAGAGATATCAGTTCAACCCATCAAAAAAAAAAAAAAAAAAAAAGCAAATCCTTCAGTTTAAGCAAGTATCTGCATTGGAAACACCTTCACAAGAGCCACTGACCCAGGTTTTCCCACCACGCCTCACTCTGGGCCCACCTGCCTCACACGCCCCAGAATAAACCCACTCATATATGGTCATTTCATATTTGAAAAGGATGCCAAGAATATGAGTGGGGAAGGACAATTTCTTGAATAAGTGATATGAAAAATGGATAACCACATGAGAAAAAAAAAATGAGCCTTATTTGACACCACTCACAAAAATTAACTCAAAATGGATTAAAGACTTTCATGTAAGACCTGAAACTCAAATTCCTAGAAGAAAACAGGAGGAAAGCTCCCTGACATTTGTCTTGGCAAAGACTTTTTTGGATATGACACCAAAAGAATAAGCAATAAAAGCAAGTAGAAAACTGGAAAATATCTGCAAAGTAGAAGAAACAATTATCAAAATAAAACGGGAACAGAAAGAATGGGTGAAAATATTCACAAGCCTTCTCTCAAAATTCAACATCAGAAAACAACCCAATTTAAAAACTGACCAAAGATTTGATTTTAGATGGATGGTAAATACACACCTAAAAATATGCTCAGCAAGTCATTAAAGAAAAACAAATTAAAATATAATGAGCTACTGCTCTATAGCCATGGGCATGGCAAATAAAATAACAAGCGAAGTGGAGATAAAGAAATGATGTGGAAGGAATTCTCCTACACTGTTGGAAATGTAGAATGATACAGTCACTTTGGAAACATGTTAGTAATTTGGCAAGGTGAACATAAAGGTACCACATGCCCGAGTTAACCTGTCCCTATCCCAATCTTATTTATGCAAGAGAATGAAAACCTCCATTTACACAAGAGCCTGGACATGACTTTTTTAACAAAGATTTATTTATTTATGCATAAAACTGGGGTACAGGCCAGAGGTGTGGTGGGTGAGAGGATTCACCAGAGACACAGTGGGGAATAGAACAGGTGGATTGACTGAAACACACAGCTGAGGAGAGCAGGGGGTGTGATAGGAAAGATCTGCTTTGCCATGTGGGTTAGCCCCCTGGCTAGGGATCAAACTGGTGCTGCAGTGGTAGTGGCTGAAGATAACTTGACAGCGATGTCTTTAACCCCTGCACCACTGGGGAGACTCTGGACATGAATTTTGATAGCAGCTTTATTCAGTAACCCAAAACTGGTAATAATTTGAGTATCTTTCAACTACTGAATATCTTTCAAGTCCTATCTTTCAGCACTACGAAAAGGAAAAATCCTGACCATATGTTCACATTTGCTCATTTCTCATTCCACTTGGCTTGCCAAATTTTAGTTGGTCTTCACCTTTACCCCCAAAATTCCAAAACTCTGACTGGCCCAAAAGCTTTGCAAGAAGCAATGGAGTGCAGTCAGGCACAGCTGACCTCATTCATATGATGTGCAAAGAACAGCACAAGTCCCCACTCAGGAGCCCTGTCCCAGCAGTTTCCAGGTTGATTCAAACGAAGACCAAGTTCTGTTTTTGAATCATACCTGTATTTAGAAATATAGGTGTGAACCTGTATTTCTGAATCACACAGAGTGCTGTAAGTCAGCATTACTTCAACACAAAAATAAAATCAGAGAAATTTGTCACAGAAAACAAGCTCCTGTGGACTCTCTTTCAACCATTACAAATTTTCTTTACTTCATGACTATCTCTCACAGTAACAGGGAGAGTGAGTTAGTGAAATTGTAGTCAGGGAATCAGAAATGTAGGGTTGGACTAGGTTAGGCAGTAGACCATGACATCTGGATTTGGCTCAACCTTTTGTTCTCTCTGGTTCTACACTACAGCAAAGGTGTCTTAAAACTCTATATCTCATGACTCCCATGATTTTTGGATAGCTAAAGGGTGACATGAACATATTGCCTTATGTCTCCCCAATAAATGTACCCCTCTTCTTCATCTACTAAAAGCCCCCCTTCTTTGCTCCTGTATTTCCCTATATCTCTCATATTCCTTTGTATCAAGCTCCATTTCCTCTTTCTCTTCCCCTTTCTAATGCTGTGTCCTTGCTAGCACCCTTCCACGTTTCTGCGCCTCTCACATTTCAGCACAACAAGATTTGAGTACAATGATCTTCAAATTTCTAGTTGGAAAAATCAGCATTAGGAATTATCTCCCAGAAGAACAAAGAAATGAACCATATTGCAGGCCTGATTTTAATTTTTATATTTACAGAGTCAAAAAGTTGAGCTAGTATGCTGTTGGAATTTCAAAACAGCTTTTGCAATGTGTACCTGTTCTGACTGGTCAAATAGTTCAGATGCGGCAGCTCTGGACTTACAACATAATTGCAAAATTAACATTTTTTTTTGGTTAAATATGAGTCTTGTTTTTTTCAGGGAAAACAATCAAATTCAGGGGAAGAGGAAAAGGAAAGAACATATATATGTGTGTGCATATATAAATATACACATATATATAATTATAAAAAAGCAAAAGATAAAGGTTCAGTAAAAGCTATCCTTTCTGCTAGACTGAGGTACAAACACACTTTATGTTCTTCCTCTTTTCTCATCAAATTTTCTGTAAACTAAAAATGCTAAAGAATTTGCTGTTGAGAGCAGTCTCCCACAGCCTCCCTCCCCCACACCCATACATCTGTTCATAAATTACAAAGGATACATACATCAGAAATCCCAGTTGTTGCAGGCAACTTTTATTGCTATATATGTGTGTATAGGTGTGTGTATATATATGCACACATACATATATACGTTACATACATGCATTATACACACACACACATACATACATATATGTGTATGTATATATATGTAAAAACAAGATTGTTGGAGTGCAAGATTGCCAGCCTTCTGGGTTATAAACAACCTGTGATTTAACATCATAATGTGACTTGCTAAGGTACAAATTGCCAGGAATGTGGGGGAAACAGGAGGATTAACAATATAAACACAAAGAACATTTCCCCCTCATCCTCTTGTAATCCATTTACTGTTTATAAACCCTGCCCCAAAAATGTGTAAGTACATACACAGCAATATAATAATTGGTGTAAAACACATCCCAATTCTCTCATGCATCAATATTCCCTCACGACAAATTATGGAGAATGACAATGACGTGCTAAGACTCCTGAAATGTGGCTTCCCTAAGGAGTCCCAACAGAAAGAAACTTCCCCTTCCCTCTTTTTCTTTCTTTCTTTCTTTCTTTCTTTCTTTCTTTCTTTCTTTCTTTCTTTCTTTCTTTCTTTCTTTCTTTCTTTCTTTCTTTCTTTCTTTCTTTCTTTCTTTCTTCTTTCTTTCTTCTCTTTCTTTCTTTTCTTTCTTTCTTCTTTCTTTCTTTCTTTCTTTCTTTCTTTCTTTCTCTCTCTTTTTTTTTTTTGTTGCAAATTTTAAGACCCATACGTTACCCAATCCTCCTGCGTCCTTGTCATCTCTGGAGGCAGCATCTTCCTTTGTCACTTTCAGCAGAGAATGCAAAGACTTGGACATTCTGTTTGCAGGAGCACTATTAAAGGCACTGAAAGACAAATGTATGGACGAACTCTGAATGCCTCCTAGAGCACAGCTGGCTTTTTCAAGATGAGAGGATGGCTTTGCTGAGATGACTTTGTGGACCTGAGGTGCGCTGAAGCAGGCTGTGTTCACTGCAAGGGAAAATGGGTGCGGTATCTGTGGGGAGAAGAGCCTACTTAAGTGAGGAGGAGCCAAAGTAAAAATGAAACTGAACTACTGCAAAATGAAAGCACTATAGGAATCAGTCCTTAAGTTTTGTTAACCTCAGGTGCAGGCATGAGATCCTGCATTTCATATCTGCACTTCCTACTAGAGTAAAATCCTTTCACATATAATAAATTTTTGAAAATTTTTCTTGAAAAATCCTTTCACAAATAATAAATGGATTGTAGAAAGACATCAGACCATTAATATTTCCTGAACCTCAACCATATACAAAAGACAAGGATCTGGTCTTGAGAGAATCACACTCCAGAATAAGAGAAGGACTAGGGTATAACGTTAATTAGACTGTAAACAAAATAAGTGAAGCTGTTAGCATTCCAGAATTTTTAAATGCAAAGTGCTTTTAACTTGGAAATATCAACTCCAGTCAAAATGGATTAACAGGGACTGGGATTTATGCTACTGTCTGAATCAACTAAAAAGGAAAAGAGAAAAGAAACTATAGATGAAAAAAACCCTGAGCATCACACAATGCAGGGCAGTAGCCATCTTGTTAGCAGCCCACCTGTGGGCACCCTGGCACCCCCATACCTGTACACTCTAAAGGGATTCTGCCATGTGTCACATAAAGACACAGCATACTCTTTAGTGTGAAAGATCTTTATTTTAAAATATATATATTTTTAAAATTTATGTATTTGTGCATACAAGAGCTGGGGTATAGGCCAGAGGTTCAGGGGTGGGGACGCAGGAGTGAGAGGATTCACCAGAGACAGAGCAGGGAGCAGCAGCAGTGGGCAAGACAGGAGAGGGTGCTGTGCCATGTGGATCACCTCCCTGCCTGGGGATCATACTGCAATGATAAAACTGCTGTGGATTACTTCATAGTGCTGAGACTTAACCCCTTGCACCACCAGAGAGGCCCTAGTGTGACAGATCTTTAATAGAACAATTGTGCAGAAAGAAGGAAGAAAAAGGATATAGTTCTCCAATAAAATACCCAAAGTTACCCATCCCCTCGTAGGTAAATGCCCAGCAAACTAGGTGGCTCAAGGTGGAGATGCTGAGGCTTGAAAGTCTAAGGCACCTTCTGGAGGGTGAAGGGCACCAGGCAAGTCTTTGGGACACAAAGAGCAAAATCAAAGCACAAATGAAATAATGGCTGCCAGTGTCAGCCTCCTCATATGTCTCTCACCCAGTGTCTCCTCCATACCTCCCAAGCCCCTGGTGCAAGTCCAAAGCCAAAAAGCAAGGGGGCTGTTCTTCTCCATGTGTCCCCCTCCTGTGCCTCCTGCCTTCCATGCTCTACAGCTACATCCAGCTGCTCAAAACATCCTTCCCAGGGACAGGAAACACAGAAACTTCTTTTCATGGAGATGCCTGTTACACTCTGAAAAGATTATGAGGACTCCAATTGCCCCAGCTTTACCCAGTATCGTAGACACGGCTTAAGAAGGGGAAACCCAAGCAAGTGCCAGTGGATTCCATGAATTGCCTCTGAAAAGCTCAGACACAAGAACCCTAGGACAGAGCATCAGAGAGGAGGAGACATTCCCTTCTAACTCCATCCTCGCTGCTGTGAATGGCATGAGTTTATCTTTTTTGATTGCTGAGTAATATTCCATTGTGTATATGTACCACATCTTCTTGATCCAGTCATCTACTTTTGGGCATTTGGGTTGTTTCCAAGTCGTACCCATTGGAAATAGTGCTACATCACAGTCATTTTCAACCTGATTTTTGTTCCCCTAAGTCAACTACTGTACAATCAGCAGAATTTAGATGTTTATTATTGTGGTAGGTGCTGAGAAACAAAAGATTTGCGGGAAAGGGCTGAACAGATGCTCCAGGGTGGCCCAGGTGAGGCAGGAGATTTCTCTGTTTAGGCAAGAGATTGGCTTTTAAATGGAGGATTATACGGTTCCAAGAAAAGTGTTAAGAGAGCAAGGACAATATATTATGAAAACAGTGGCACACCTAGGCTGTAGGAAACTTGAGAGGGAGAAATATATATATTTTGACACAGCCCTACTCTGCCACAGGGAACTTAAGGATACTCAGACCCAGATAAAAGACGAGTCTCCTCAAGAAGCCGGCGTCCCTGGTGTTAACTTACTAGTACACAGCACTGTATGGAGGGGAAAATTACTTTTTCTTCTAGAGGTCAAAATGAGGATTAATTTGGAAGAAGAGACTGAATGGAAAGGGGTTCCAGCTGCTTCTTCAACTCCCCCCCAGATAGGGCTTGGATTATATAGGCTGTGGAGATGGGGGGAGGGGGGAGGGTCTTTTTAGCAAAGACCACAGAGCAGAAACAAACACTTGCTTTCACTGGAATAATATTCTCAGGCACATGTTAATCACCAGACAGGGCAAAACACAATTCAATTCCCAGACAGGCAGTAACTTAACTCGTGATGTCTGATAGTCATCTGTATGAGAAAGGCAAGAATTTAGGGAATGAATGATTTTAGCCTAAGGAAAATGGCCTTTCGCCTCCTGTCAGGGCTCTCCAGGGCAGAGGCTTCAGGCTTCAGGCGGTGGTGCTTGAAGATGCTGAGGACAGGGCTCAGAGCAGGCTGGTCACAGTGGGCCATTATCTCCTGACTTTGCCTCTGCTTCATGGCCACATTTTGTTCATATTTATTTTCACAATGGAAAAAAGAGGATTCAAGCCAGTTCCAAAAAAAAAAAAACCAAAACAAAAACAAAAAACTATTTTCATTTAAAACACCAAAGCTTTCACAAATTTCTACCCCAGGCAAAACAGGGAGAGGGTGGGGGAGATTGAAACCAGAAAGGGAGAAGTCCCTGAACCTGAAAACCAGGACCTGTCTAGGAGCCTTTGCAAAAGCCTTTAAAACCATGGAAAGTTCCGAGTCTGTAAAATCTGATACCAAGGGCAAGTCCAGGCCTGGGAACTACGGGAAGAAATCTGGTCAGAATTTTTGTAAAAACATCACAAAGGCCAAGCAGAGGAGATATCACTCTAGGTGAAGCTGGAAAAGGCTTTTCTTTTTTTTTCTTTCCTGGTTTTTGGTTCTTCCAGTGATGAACTAACGAGGTGCTCTGGAGGAAAAAATGTAAGAGTGTGGCTGGAGGACTCTCAGGGCTGCCAACTTCCTGTGCTAAGTCTAGGGAGAAAGGGGCAGTCACAATACCTCGTGTAGGAGTCTGCAGGTACAGATACAGCAGAGGCTGCTCACAAACACCCTATGACTAATGATCTGTTTTCTTTGAAATTTATTTATTTATTTATTTCAAAGTTTATTTACTTATTTATACAAGAACCTGGGTACAGGCCAGATGGGCGGGAGGGTGAGAGGATTCACCAGAGACAGAGCAGGGAACAGAACAGGCAGACTGACGAAATACACTTTTGAGGGGAGCGAGACAGGAGAGGTCTACTGTGCCATGTGGGATCCTTGCCGGCCCCCTGCACCACCAGGGGAGGCCCTGTTTTCTTTGAAATTTGATGGGGATTCCTGCCCTAGTGAGGCCTGAGAAAGTGTTGGACATTGATGCCATCAGAAACTAACCAGGCCATGGGCCTCCCCAGTGGTGCAGCGGTTGAGCACTGGGCTGCGAAGCTGCCTGCAGCCTCCGCAGTGCCGGCTCAATCCCCTGCTGCCCTGAGAGGTTCCCATATGGCGTGCAGACCTCTCCTGCTGCCCGCTGCTCCCCTCAGCAGTGTATTTCGTCAGTCTGCCTGTTCTGTGCCCTGCTCTGGCTCTGGTGAATTCTCTCACCCTCCGGCGCTTCTGACCGTACCCAGTGCTTGTATAAATAAATAAATAAATCTTAAAAAAAAAAAAAAGAAACTAACCAGGCCTGGGCCTCCCTGGTGGCGCACGGGGTTAAGCACCGCACTATGTAGCAATCCCCAGCCTCTGCAGCATGAGTTCCATCCCCCGCTGGTCTGGGGAGGCTCACATGACACAGCAGACCTCTCCTGACTCCCATACTGCTCCCCTCAGCAGTGTATTTCAGTAGATCTGCCTGTTCTGCTCCCCTTTCTGTCTCTGGTGGGTCCTCTCACCCCCCGCATCTCTGGCTTGTACACCAGCTCTTGCATGAATAAATAAATCTTAAAAAAAAAAGAAAGAAAGAAACTAACCAGGCCTAAATTAGTAAACCAGGTTCAAGTGACCAAGGATGTGACAACAAACTCTGGGGACTGAAGATGATGAAACCAGGGGCACCAGCTGTGATGGGCTACTGTGACAGGCTATTCATTCCTGATGAACTTTGTTTAACTCCTAGAAAAAGTCCAGCTCAAAAAGAGATATCAGAACGGTTTTTGGGGACAACATACCTGCCGTTTCTCAGATCCTGGCTTTCTGACAATAAAGTGTGCCCATATAAATTCAATTCTGTTTCTGCTCATTGGCTTTGACAGCGACAGACAATGAGACCCGGCTTTTCTGGCTACATGTGCTCTTACTGTTCAGGCCTGTGCGCTCCAGCAGACTCTAGGTTCTCCACCTGCACTCCCACCCCCTTTCCACTGGTCTAAACCCCAGCCATATGCTTCTGCATTGCCCCCCAACTCCATCTCCAACCCTCTCCATTGCCCCAGATACCCCCACTTGCACTCCATTGACCCAAACCCCTCTCCATTGCCCTGAACACCCCCCCCCCACTCCCTCTCCATTGCTCTGGACCCCTGACCCCTTCCCTATTTCCCCCCATCCTTCCTGTTTGGAGACCTAGTGAACTATAAACTCTTTCCTGGATTTTCTTTTTTTTTTTTTTTTTAAAGATTTATTTATTTATTTATACAAGCACTGGGTACAGTCAGAGGCACGGGAGGGTGAGAGAATTCACCAGAGCCAGAGCAGGGAGCAGAACAGGCAGACCGACAAAGTACACTGCTGAGGGGAGCAGCGGGCGGCAGGAGAGGTCTGTGCGCCATGCGGGACCCTCTTCCGGTTGCCCAGGAGCAGCGGGGATTGAACCGGTGCTGCAGAGGCTGCGGGCAGCTTCGCAACCCAGCTCTCAACTGGTGCACCAGGGAGGCCCTTTCCTGG